CCCTGTATGCGCAGTAGGTCGTGTTCAGGTTCATTGCCGACGCTGACGTTGCTGACATGACACCTTTCTGCAACGGGACAATTTCCTACAGCTATGGGTGTCTCCGGCTCCGTAGGTTCCTGGAGAGCAACGTCTTCAACCTCCAGAGCTCCGAACCGGTTAGCGACTGGTACCGGCGTGGGCGCTTGGGTCGTCGCCAGTAAGCGCACCCCCTTTCTTACTGGCGACCAGCGTTTGGGTAGCGCTGTCCACCCTCAGTACAGTCTTTAGCGAGGTGGCCTGGCTTCCTGCAAGCAAAGCAGTGTCCCATTGCTCGCAGTTGGACACGCTCTTGGTCCGTCAGCTTGCGGAGGCCCTGACCACGGAAGCTGGGCACGGAACGCGACTCTCTACTGGCTGGTGGCCCCGACGCCGGTGGCCCTGACGACTGCTCCACGGTGTTTGCTGCCATGACAGCTTGCTCCAGGGTACGTGGATGCTCACGCATGACCTGTCGCTGGATGTGCGGCACTAGACCCCTGACGAACAGCAGCGCTCTGGTGTGGTGGTCGATTTCCGGCACTTGCAGGCTGAGGCGAGTGAAAGCAGCAATGTATGCGTCCAGCGACCCGCGCTGCGCTGCGGAAATTAGTCCCATACGCGATGTTTCCTCGTTGTGCCGTGGTCCGTACACATCGCCAAGTGCCGCTTTCAGAGCAGGCCAGTCGGAAAACACTTGGTTAGCTTCCAATGCCGCTATCAACCAAAGACGAGCGTTTCCAGTCAAAAATCCTGCCGCGTAGTCGACCCTCTGTGCCGCATTTGGGAGTGCCAACGACCGTAGGGCCATGTCCATTGCAAACGTCCATTCTTTGAATGTAGCGGAATCTCCTCCAAACACAGGCGGCTCTTTCGTAAGGCGGGGTGTTGGCTCCCACGGTTCCGAGTTCGGATGTATCGTTCGGTGTCCTTGGCTAACGCGCTGAGCGGTCTTGATATCGTTTATCAGCCGAACGACGAGTACGAGGAGCGTAAGCAGAGCGACCAGAACACCTGCCAAAAGCAGAGTAGTAACCATCCTCTGCTACCAGTGTAACAGGTTTAATCAAACTTGAAAAGTAAGAGGCCTGGTTGAGCGTGCCTCGACCAGTTATATGCAAAATGTGATAGTATACATGTGGCAATGGCGCCAATGAAGGTGCTAATAGACAGGCGTAAGACGCACGAGGTGCGAGGGAGTGTAAAGTTATAGAGAACAGGGGAAAACTGTTACACAATCAATGATGCCCAATCAATCTGCCCAATGTGTGTTCTGTTCCACCTAATTATAACGTCCCATCGCATCAACCCTATGTCGTCACTCTAGCATGACTTGTGTTATTATTGTTTATTTTGATTCGCTCGATAAATAGAGCACAATAAACGTTAACTTGACCGAAGGATAAAGGCGACTGCAGATAGAGGAACACATCGAGGTACAGGTACCGGCATCAATACAGTATCAGAGAGAAACAAACAAAAATGAGAGGTACGCAGAAAAAACTCTCGTAAGCCCAAGGGGAAGTGGTTGATGAGGGATGAATGCACTCTCCACGCTCATCTACACTGTTCGTGGAAATGCACACATACATACAATAATATACAACATAGCAATAGCATGTACAGAACCGAATAATTTCATGTTCACACATGCAAGCACAGACCTGAACATTAGTACCAAAAGCCGATAAAGACAATATCCCTATACACACAGACACAGACACACACACACACACACACACAATGTCCCATGTATGCGCCCGTGGCGAGAAAAGCACGCAAATCTACAAATGCACTGGATATGAACCCACAGATTTTCTCTTATAGCAACGATAGCGGATCTGATTCTGAATGAAACACACACACACACACACACACACACACACACACACACACACACACACACACACACAATACAATCATTGAATGCCCATACGCAGATGATGGCAGGTCCTGAAAGAACAGGCAGCGTTCCAGTAATGGGGAACAGAACTTCGAGTGGCGAGTGAGGTATACACACACACACACGTGCGTGCGCGGGCACACACTAAAGTATTCAGAAATAGAATCGACATTGTAGTATTCATTGGTTGGGGAATGGAAAGGAAAATAAAACATTGCTGTAGGTTATTGTTGTAAGGACACTGGGAGCACAACAGAAAGGTAAGCAACTTGCTTTGAAGCAAAGAAAGTTATTATTCCACGGATCTCAGAAGGAAGGAACGTTCCAGAATGCTGCACTGGCAACAGGCGGCCTGCATGTGCGCGGCCCCTGCAGTCGGTCCAGCTGCCGGCCTTGCAGTGCTGAAAAGAATGTGCAGTACAGCATGTCACATAGTATCGCAGCCTGGACAAATAGGCGCTGGGAAGTCCTAGTTATGTGCTCACCTACACCACGATGCACCAATCTTCTGAGCTACTTTGGCAACAACTTTGTCCACTTGAGACTCCCATGGGCTGAGCTAGTTGTTGAGGGCTGCACCAAGGTGGACGGCAATGACCGCTGATGGCAAGGCAATCCATGACACACAGTCACTAGGGCATCGTCAACATGGCGCTGAGGCTGGATCGATAAAATCAACCTTTAGGCTGTCGCGGGGTTGACAACGAGGCCGCTGTCTCGAAGCTAGTCAGTCAGCCTGGTCACCACCATTGACGAACCAGTCGCTACCGCCAGCAGTGGCGGTAGGTTGTGACAAGTGTGGTGCAATATTGTCAGCAAATTCAGTGACTTAGGATAAGATGAGTGACAAAGGGAACGTTGTGTTTGATAATATTGAAGTGAACAGGGATGATCACAAACCCTGCGCGTACTCCACCGTGAGTTACAAGAAAATTCCGGACTGGACGACGAGCAAACGCCAACCTGCTACATCCAACCAGGCAGATACTATTACGATAGCTGCCAAACCAGGTCAATGCCGACCTACTGCATAATGTCAATGTCAAACAGATCCTGCAGGAGAAGACTGGGGTGTTGGCGTCCAATCACTGAGTGTACAGACACCAGTCACATTTCCTGCGTCTTTTGCAGCATGCAGGATAGACTCATCACTATAAAGTCCACTACTTCGTGATTTTTATTTGTAGAATACATGACAGGCGTATTCAGTATGCCTCGCAGGACTGCGAGATGCTGCAGAAGACCAGGTTCGACCTTTCTGGACGGCCATTCACCGACGGTGGGCTACACGATGCTGGAGGAACTAGATTCCAGTGAAAACCCAAGATTCCTTTGCTCCTGGACGCTCCGACGTATTGTGATATCTGCCAGGTGCGCAGTAACTAGTATTTTCATCGCTATAGCGAGGACGACGCCGATCGGCAAACTCTCGCTCACAGCCATCACCAACCTCTCAAAACCATCACTTGGCATCCCCCAGAGGTATAGGAGAAAGCCAAAACAGCTCTCAACAAACAAAAGCTAAGGATGATGGAAAGAGAGCATGTCAAAAAGAAGACGAACAGTATGAAGTTCAAATGGTTTTGAACACTCGTACCACCAACTATACCACTTTCAATAAATCGTGACGCCATTTTGTTTTAACATGAATATCGCGGATTGAGCAGAATTCGAGGAATTGCCCGCCATAAGGTTTGTATGAATCTGCCACCTTTTCGAGCAGAATCCGCCGGTACCTAAAGAATGACAAGAAAAGCAGATAATATTTTAATTATGAGAACATGATACAGAACATGACATAAATGAGCACGGCAATTGACCTCAACAGGGGATACCAGTAGCCGCCTCGGCAACAACAAGCGCAGCTGACTCTCCGCGGCAAAGACAGGTGCATAGAGCCGTCTAGCACACCTCAGGCACATCACAGTGGATCGGACCAAGGCAAAGCTGATCTGGCACCGGATTGAAGCCATCACGGCACTGTAGTCTGTGGGCCTCTCCGGTATTGTCGGCGATGAGGGACGCTATCCTCTTGTCCATTATGCTTAGAAGTAGGACACACTTCAGGCTCTTGATTATTTTGAAAGTGTCACTTGTTTACTAGTTTACTACTAGTGACACTTTCAAAATAATCAAGAGCCTGAAGTGTGTCCTACTTCAGTATGTAAGTATAATTACACACATAATACATGTACATTGTATATTGTATATGTACAGCTGGATTAGAAGCTCGGATTTTATTGTCAGGGACACCCGCACTCACAGCCATAGTGCACTCCAAGAATGGGAGGCGATCTCAAGCACCAGGTTGCATGGGACTATAAAGATAGACATCGAGTGTTGACTGAGGTCCGGTGGTTCTGCACCTGATTCTTGGAATGTGCACTTTGAGACTAGTGCAGATACTCAATCTGCGAACAGAACTGTTTCGTTCTTTGTGGACTAGTGCAGATAGGCTTCGCCTTCTCTGCTTTGCTGCTCCAGTGAAAATGTGTGTAAAATACATCTAAATGTATTGATAAAGTTGACGATTTTCTCCACTCTCCCATGCCATGAACGAGGGGATAACGACCCATCTGCCTCTCCGAATGACTCTTGATTGCAAAAATTGTTGGAGATCAATTTCGATCATAAACAAGACCAAGAATAGAAATCATACAAGACTACAATGTACAATAATGTATCCTGATGATTTGGAGGACAAAGGAAGTGACAAATTAGCATGCACGATTAATCCTACCCGACAGACACAATTCGCAAGTACACGTAAGTAACCAAAGCAGCTAGCAATATACTGGGCTATTGGGCACTAAACTGAAATGCAATGGGCGTAGCTGGGCGTGTCGAACGCAAATGCATCTACATTGTATCTGTATGAAAGTATTGTAAGTTGAAACATACTGTTACTTGCAACAATGGAGGGAAGTAAACTTTACAATTCTGATATTTTTCTCTTCCACGAGATCTTTGGATAAAAGGTAACTAGACTGGACTGGTACAATGTCAGACATTGAATGGGCAATGAGAACTGAGCGGAACAAATTTCCGTGTCGAGGGAGAGAGTCAATTCGGGGAAGGTTCAAAATTTAATTACCGCACTGTCTGGCTTTGACGCCACCACTGTCAGCATTGCAGAACGATAGACAAGCTCCGAGTCAAGGCTACCCATATCATGACTTGCGATGAAGGCAGTCAGTTGTTCAGAGCTCAGCTTTCCGTAATCGACGCCTCCTTCTGTGTACGCCTTCACGAACTCGAAGTATTCCCGAACAGTCTTGAAACTTACGACCATGTCATCATCCTGTTGTGCGAATTGTACTTCCAGACCCATCGTTCTGCATTGGTTTGTCCAGAAGTCGAGAGATCGAAAATTCATTCCGGTTATCACCTCTTCGCTCTGTCCTGTTGCCATCAGTGAAAGATCATTGGCATAGGGACCAGTCGTTAATGTGATGTTTGCACAAAGGCGGCCTCCAGTCTTCAGACATCGCTCTATGCTGCTCATCGTAGCATTCATATCATCGTCCGGCACCCAGTGAAGCGCAAAGTTGGAGAAGACAGCATCAAAAGGTCCATGTGGCACAGCATCATGAACAAGATCAGTCATGAACTTCACCTTTGCTCCGTTGGACAAATGGCGTTCATAATGAACTTTGGCGACTTCTATTCTTTCTGTGTTTGGGTCTACACCGAGTACCTCGCCTTCGTGTCCAAGGATATCAGCGATATCCTTTGAAAGACGTCCAGTGCCACTTCCTAAATCAAGAATTTTCTCACCCTCGCCAGGACCAAGATGGCTGATTATCAGGGACTTTCCATAGCCATGTTGCAACGCTGAATGGTTCTCATAGAGCTGGGCAAGGGAGGACGTGTTTGCCATTCTCGAAAACTTGGTGTTAGGGTGACAAGACCAGAAACCTCTACGAAGTCAACAAAGAGCAGTACACAAAACTGCTGAGCAACAACATCACCAAGCATTACAAACCTACACCGGCAGAGACTTACGACCAGATCAACTCGGAAGCTCAGACAATTGCTGCGACGCTGGAGCTGGACGACAGAATGGATGCAATGGCGAAGAAGGACGCATACATCACGCTGAAGGACCATAAAGACAACTTTTCCCGGTCCCTGCCATGCCGGCTCATTAATCCCTCAAAGAGTGAAATCGGCATAGTCTCGAAGTCTATACTGGATACCGCTCTAAAACAACTCCGTCCCCAGCTGCAGATTAATGCATGGAGGAACACGGCAGCGGTGATAGAGTGGTTCTCAAGAATACCAGAGAAAGAAAACTGCATATTCGTGTGCTTTGACATCGTAGATTTCTACCCCTCAATCTCCGAAGACCTCCTCCAGAGATCCGTCGAATTCGCCCGCCGCTACACGGACATCTCCCAGGAGGAGGGTGACATAATATTCCACGCCAGGCGATCTCTGCTGTTCGGCTTGGAGAGGCACTGGGTGAAGAGACACAACGAGCACTTTGACGTCACAATGGGGTGCTATGATGGGGCTGAGGTGTGTGAGCTTGTTGGAGCCTTCGCCCTCGCCATGATAGCGGACGTGTTCAACGGCCGAGACGTCGGGTTGTATCGCGACGACGGCCTGGCTGTGTTCAGGAATGCATCAGGACATGAAGCTGACCGAATAAGAAAGGAGATGACCAAAATATTCCAGAACCTCGGACTGAAGATAACGATACAGACAAACCTGAAGAGAGTCGACTTTCTGGACGTGACATTGGACCTGACCACCGGAAAGTACTGCCCTTACCGGAAACCGAACGACAAGCCGATGTACATCAACTGCCAGTCAAACCATCCACCTACAATCATCCAGAACCTACCTGCATCGATCAGCAGAAGACTAACAGATATTTCCAATGATGAAGACGTCTTCATAGATGCGACTCCGATCTACAGTGACGCGCTGAGGAAGAGTGGATACCGGGAGAACGTACAGTATTTTGACGAGCGTAAAACGGACGAGACAAAGAAGAAGAAGAAAAGGAATCGCCCTCGGAACATCATATGGTTCAACCCACCATTTAGCAAGAACGTCGCCACCAACGTTGGACATCGCTTCCTCCAGCTAGTGGCCAAACACTTCCCCAAAGGCTCAAGCCTCAACAAAATCTTCAACCGGAACTCTGTAAAGGTTAGCTACAGTTGCATGCAGAATATGGCCACTATCATCAAGCAACACAATAACACGATTCTACGACCCAAGAAACAAGCTAACGGAGGTGACAACGATACCAGGACTTGTAACTGTCGGGCGAAAGACTCGTGTCCACTGGACGGAGCGTGTCTAACGGAGAGTATCGTATATAAGGCAAGAGTCACCGCAGGTATGGAGAAGAAGGAATATACTGGATTAACAGCAACAACATTCAAACAACGCTACTATAACCACCAATCCTCATTCCGCCACAGACAACACGAGAAGGACACCCGCCTATCGCAGTACGTCTGGACCAAAAAGGATGAAGGGAAGGCATGCAGCATTCAATGGGCGGTACACCGCAGAGCAGCGGCCTACAGCAACAAAAGCAAAAGGTGCAACCTGTGCCTGGCGGAAAAATTGGCAATCGCGCAAGCACCCAAGCACCTCTCTCTAAACAAAAGGAGTGAGCTTGTGTCGAAGTGTCGCCATGAGAATAGGTACTACCTTCGGAACTTTAAACCAGCTACAGCCATCACCTAATTAAGTAAGAGACAACAAGCTCCAGTGGTTGTCACCTTTCACCACTTGCTGTCATTCACGCTTTGCACTGCCGCTATTTACACTTTGCTTTGTGAGGATATAAACCAAAACTGATCCAGATTTCCAATTACTGTTTTCTGATGATCGCTTAGTGCGTGAAACTCTGAGTAAAAACACTTCCTCTGTCCTCCTATTGTTTGTTAGGGGATCTTTAGAAGGAAAACAACGGTCAGTAAATGTTGAAAGTTGTTCTCGTTTGAAAATGGGTGACTCACGACCTCCTGGCTATCCTTTTATAGTCCAACACCGGTCCTTTTGTCCGACTACTTTCGTCCCTCTTGATATTTGTACTTTGTACTGTTGAGGCAGCGAACTGAAAAAAAAAAAAAAAAACCAACCAACTACTGACGAGACGCTGTGCGGCCTGTGCCCATCAAGATCATGCAGCAGGCGTCCATGCTTGGAATGCTGTGCTCATCAAGAATGTGCAGCAGGCGGCCATTCTTGACCGCAAGCGAGAAGCAAGCAAACTCGCTGAGGAAACGATCGAGTATGCGGCAAAGCATGACCCACATATCAAGGAAAGATGCTTCGCAAATGGGGCGTGTTATCGGTACCTGTAAAGATAATTGTGATTGTATTGCAGCAAAATTATTTGTGATAATTATTTTGCCTTGCACCTTTTCACTCCGGAGGTTACACAAGAAGCGATGTTTCTCAATACACTCTATCAGTGTAATTATGCGCATACTTCAACTCCCAGGTGATCTGATACGTTTTAATTTCACCCCGAGGTAACGATTTGCGGTGTAGCTATTAATTTGTCGCAGTGGTGTCAGAACCAAAAATCGATTACACGTATTAGTTACCAAACTTGCCACTTTTCTGCCGCATGAACGGATATAATACACTGTAACTTGTGAAAGTCTGAACTTGATTTTATGACGTGCGTCCAAGCACCCTTATCAAGACGTACTCGAACAATAATTAGTGTCGCATGTCAACAAGTCAGGAGTAAGGCGTAGTGCAAAAGTAGTTATCGGCGTGATCTCACAAATGCCGCTCCGAACTGCTGCACGAGTACCAACCTTATCCTCACCTTTGTGATACCTTGGCGTACTCAACGTGCTACTTTTATTGTACATGTACATGCAGGTCCCGGTGTTCTACATGTACATGTACATGTATATCCTTCCATGTTCATTCCCTATATGCTATCTTCATTTCAATCATCTGGGAGTAGCTTTGCATACCGACAGGAAAACAATCGGTCGCTATCAAACAACTAATAATTTTAGGTTATCACTAGGAGGTACTCAAATATCCCTCAAATTGGGAGGACGAGTATTTCTTTCGTTTTCAGAAGCTACTTGAGTATCATTATTACAAACTCAAATCATATTAATGAAGTCGGATCGAGAGCCAGGAATTAATTATTTTATAGAAAAGAAAAAGGACCAATGAACTACAAGTTATGCTATAATGTCCACTAACACCACCGGTTACTAAACAATCAGCTCATGTGATAACTGAATCCACTGCCCGTCGTCAAGTGACGACGGGCAGGAACGGATTCTACTGCCCGTCGTCAATTGACGACGGGAAGGAACGGATTCCACTGCCCGGCGTCACTTGACGACGGGCAGTACCACTGAACTGACTCTCTACTTCATAGTCTTTCATTGGTTACTTGCCGCATGTTTCATAAAATACAAGGCACCGGATTGCGCGGAAAGAGCGACTAAGTGGAAAACCAACAAGATCAAAAAAGACCTGACTAATAAATAACTAACGCAGAAGAGCGACTGTTTGCAACCACAACTGTCATCATGGCGCTCCAACATTTGATCTGGAACTGGGAGACAAGAAGCCCCTTTGTTGAACGGTATTGGAGATGTGAACGAGATCCTCCAAAAAGTGGAGGAAGAGACTGAAACTTTTATTGCGCAGTCGCTCGCGAAGGAGATCTTGGACGAGCCGGATGAGCCTCCACCAAAGCGCGCAATGCTCAGCAATATGCAGGACCCGCGCAATTATTTGCCGACGTTTCGGACTTTCCGATCAAGCCCTGGGAAAAATCCGTAGAAACCGAACAGTCAGAATGCCCGATGCCAAGTGGACAATGCCCACCACGAGAAGAAAAGCACTGTGGACTACTACCACTGACACTGTACCAGAAAACAATCACAAAACACAATGCATGCAGGTGTGGATGTCATGTACATGTAGCTCCTCATTTGGCCTGGGTGCACACGGGAAACACGTTCCAGTCACTCATACTCGGCCACTACCGCTGTTCATCCAGCCCTTGCCGCTATCGCGGCGCGGGCTGGATTCCGCGGTACTGCCCTTGTACTCGTGCAGGAACCTGTACATCCTCTTCTAGTTTCAAGGACTAATTGAATGCGTATCCAAAGAAATCTTCTACTTTTATTCTTTTCAGGAAATCTAACCTGTGCCAATGGTCGAATGGTGTGTGTGCTTTGAATGCGCAACTTGCCTTACTTAATTTTTTTGCTGTCTTTTCCTTCTTTTTCCTATTCTTTTCTCTCTGCTTCTTCATGGTATCTCAGCCGTGGTTGCTATTCAACCCTCTACTTAGATTAGCAACACGCGTGCATGCTACATTGTATGTGAAGTCGAGCAGTATATACTGGTACACATACTGGTGATTATGCGGAGCACACTGACTTGCCAGTTTGGGGACTCTGGCAAGGCACATTCGGGCCTGGTTTAAATCTGGCTTTGGAAATATTTATGCTTCATTGCTATCAGGTTTGGCCTCATTTCCTCTGTGCTGCGCTGATGAGTCCACAAAGGACGAAACAGTTCTGTCCGCAATTGAGTATACCGCATTACCGGTACCAGTAATTATACATGTTAAAGGGAACGGCACAGATGAATACGAGTTACTTTCGTAAGATTATTTTTAAAACTGTTCACCACTGCACGCTACTATTCATAGTGTTAGGTACCACCTCCCGTACATTTTCTAGCTGGCGCATGGCCTGCATGCACTTGCGTACGCACCTTTTGTCTCCTTTTGCTCCGTTGGCCTGGGTAGCTACTTGCGCGCCCATATTTGCCATAGCTACCCAGGCCCTTTATCTTGCCGTTTAGACTTGATCTCGCTCTCTCTTTCCTCACTCTTCAATGTAGTCGTTTCGTTCG